ATTGTTGATGTGGCCCCTGATGCTGTTGAAAACTGCAAACCTAATTATTGCTTTTTAACTCCATCAAGGCTAGAAAATAAGTATGTATATATATGTACTAGAAAAAGGAAAATTTGTAAACATTATTCTTGTCTAGCAAATATTTTTCCTAAAATATTGAAAAATCTCATTCTGGATCAGGAAATATTCCTTTCTGCCAAAAGCAGGAGTAAATATTTTGGTGCTTGGCCTATAGGTCAACCGTCAATAGGAAGGGTCATAATTCTCATTAATCTATAGTTAATGTCATCAACATAAATATCCTTACAGCTTTGTGGAAAGAGTTCGGAAATGGTCATATTTGCCAGACATGACCTAAATTGAAAGGTCATTGACCAAAATGGAAGATTGGGATTTAGGTCACAATTTTATTTTGATAGAAATAATTTCAGTCTTACATTGAGTTCGGGTTTTTTAATCGCCTTTTGCACTAAATTCTGTGTTGAAATGCTTTTCGGTAATAAAACTGACTCTAGTATAGTATGATAATCCTGAGGGCACTCCTAATTACCATATTAATGACTCCAGGGGATATTCGGTCATCACTTTTTACCTGTGTTCTTCACACCTGACAGAAGTGACCAAGCCTATAACAAATATTACAAAGAAATTCTATTCAATGACAAGTAACTTCATTATTTAATAATTTTTCAGTAAAAATACCAATCTGATTTAAAAATTAAAAGTTTTATTAAATAATGTTGAAAAAAGTAATTTTTCAAGAGACAAACTTGTGCTTTATTCGCTATGTAATATGCATGTTTGAAATTGTCTTCACCAGATTAGACACTTTTAAAATCGTAAAATGCAAAATGATGTCATGCCAAATTAAAGGAGTGAAATTATCATTAGTTATATTCAAACACTTTTATAGGTACATGTAATAAAATAAAAAATACTCAGATTTCCTTCCATTTGATAAACATAATGAATCCCATAAATGAATCCAGAATCACTCATAATTTATGATTATCCTGAAACTTCAGGTTTTTTATTTTGTTTTCAAAATCGAAAGTAGTGTTGGTGATTCAAGAAATTTACAATTTTAAGTCATTAAAATCATTTCAGTTTCAAACTGTTGCATTGCATAAATCGTTCTTGAAGTATTATTTTTAGAAAAACTGTAAGAAATTACATGTTCATGAAGTAAATGCAGTGAAACTGTCAATAGATGTTCCTTGATGCCGTGAATCTCAGTAAGTATGAATAAAATTTAAACAGTTTAACAAAAAACAAAAAACTGTCAAGTCATCTCAAAATGACCAAAATGTGTGAAAAAATTTCCGGATACTTGCTTTGTGGGGATTTGAATTCTTTGTTTCAAATAGATGGAGAATGCATTTCATTACATAATAAAATGTTGTTTTCAGGAACCACAAAATACATGAAAATTGACCCATGAAAAATTGGACATTCAGAGTAAAATTTCACAATTATACATGTCATGATGACGTGTATAATCTCATTTGTAATAGATTAAAATAGGTCAAACCATGTCACCATACATGGGAGATATCACTCATGATCAGAGAAGAAGATTCCGTTGGAATTTCATATTTCAAGAAGCTAAATTCAACAATCTCAGGCCAAAGGGAATCAATTTGGCTGCAATCGTTATAATCTAAATGTAAATATATAATTTTTTAGAATTAAGACACATTTCATAAATCATTATTTTGTCCCCCCCTCCATTTGCAGGAAGAGCTGAAGGTTTTGACATTTTTCCAATGGTAGCTTTTCTGGTTTTTCACTTTTGAAAAAATGTTTACTGCATATCTATATAGTTCATTTAAACTTATAAAGAAAACTGATCATGAGGCAGTCACATGATCTTTGTGCATAAGTTCAAAAGGTATTCTAGTCAGAAATGACATGCACCAATATTAAGCTAAAGTTCTCAGACAGGTTGTAGAACAGCAGACTTGGATTTTTAGGACACCATGGATGAGAAAACATACTCATTCTCTATCTTTTAATCCTTGAATCCTGAACCATCAGCTGGGTTTTCAGAATCAGAAAGCTCCACTATAGTTTAGAAAAGAATGGAATAGATGGAAACTTTCTATTTAATGTTTTTAGTAACTGCAGTTTGTCTGGCAACAGGCAGGGATGTAACCTATGAACATAAATCTTTTCAAAAGGAAGCGATATACTTTTAACTCGTATTTCTATAAAAATAATTCCATTATTTACAAAAACATTGAAGACATACTGCAGTTTGTATGGAAAAAGGGAAGTAACCTGTGAAACTAAATCCTTTCAAAGTCTCTGAAAGAGGAAGAGACTTACTAATTATATCTCTAAACCTACTTCTGTCAAAATATTGTCATTATATACCAAAGTATTGAATGACTTATGATCATATGAAAAGAATTAATAAAAATACCACCTTAAACATTAAGCCTGATATGTCAAAATTTCATTTAAATATTTATTCATTTATAAAACCTGATTTAGACTGTTACAATAAATAGCAATTTATAGGTATACTTTAACCTCACCTGAGCAACCAATCACCTTAAATGATGTTTCTGATGGATATTAAATAATGTAAAATTTTATGGGTTTATAAAACTGGAAAATTTGTTCATGCAGTCAGCAAGTTTTTACACATATTTATTGATAATATCGACAGAGAAAATATATTCAATTTTAGATTACATATTTCATGAATTTTGAAACACCCTTTTCATTATTTTTTTTACTTTTTCATTTTTGATCAAAAATAAGTTACTATACAGAGATTATAAAAAGAAAAACTTTGATCTATTGCTTACTAATACTACCACTGCAATAGGAAAATTGATGAGCTATGAATGTGAAAAATGTGTCACATGCATAGGCATGGTCACATAAATCTTTATACCAAATTCCTTGATGCTTTGATTTGTAATTCCTAAGAAAACAACATGAAATTTCATGCATAGTCATTGTGTAAAAGAATATACAAGTACTCTGTTGACAGGAATTTGATAAACAATGAATCTGAAAAAGAAACAACAACCTGTATAACATGTTCAAATGAAGCTTTATACCAAATTTCATGAAGCTCTGATTTGTAGTTTCCGAGAAAAATTTGCAGAAAATTTCATGGGACGGCAAAGGACATGCGGTAATTTCGGAACAGAGGTATCATAAAAGATTGTAAATGTCACGTTTGTTTACCTAGCAACCTGAAAGGCGAAACATGGCAAAACTTACTCTTTGTATGAACAAAATAAAAATAAAAATAAAATCTTTTAAATTACATTATGATTATACTTCAGCAGCCTTATCATAATTCCCTACAGACAGTTTATTGTAATATAGGCCCATTTGTGAGGTGTTTTTAACCTAAAATATTGTCCTTAAAAATGGGCCAAAGACACTATGGACAGGTTGCAATACTTAGTTTGTAATTTAAAGGCCATAAAATCATAATGCCACTAGTATTTGATATGCTTTAGGCAGAATATCTATTAATGTTACTAAGAAAAAGAGATAGGTGTATCTACTTATGGATTTCATGAAAACTATGGTCTACTTACTCTACTAGTCTAAATGTGTACACAATGTTAGGTGCATATCTGCCATCTATATGCAGATAATCTGAAAAGTCTGAATGATTTGGGTATCGGTGTGGCCTGTAGTACTGTCCAATATTATTTTTGAATTTCAGTTATCCATTTCATATACCAATTCACTATCTCAAAAATTTGAAAAAGTTTTCCACATATAAAATTGAGAATGGAAATGGGGAATGTGTCAAAGAGACAACAACCCGACCACAGAACAGACAACAGCAGAAGGCCAGTATACAAAGTCAGGTGCACATTTTCAAACATTTTAAAATTTTTTTCAGGTTGAAGTCTGTGGGAGTAGTCGATTACACAAAATTTCTATTGAGAACATCTGTGCAAGCTAAAAAAGTTTCACAATCTAGAAAAGCTTTTAAATCAAGGTGAACATCTTCAACCCAACCTATATACAAGCATTCTAGTTGTAAAGCTGAGTGTTGAAAACTGCAGGAAGAGTTGAATATACAAAACATATACCCCCCCTCCCACCACCCCCCCAAAAAAAAATCATCTAACATTCACAGGTCTTGATTATTGAACCTGAAATTCTAAAAAAATCGCAAGTTTCAAGATTTAAGTCTACTAGTATTTGAAAATTGACCCTACTTTTGACATACTGTGGATTCTATCATTCTCTTATGATTGTGGTCTGTTATCTATTACTTGCATGAATGGATATTTCTCGTATCACACTACACAGAGTGTGATACGAAAAAAGTGATATGAAAACTGCGTTAATTTTGATTTGCTAATCCAGCACCAGGAGACGATATAACGACATTTCTATTGGATATTTGTTAGGTCATTGATAACTTTCAAAGGTTAAGGCGATGTACATTTCGTCCATGGCAACGGACATATGGGATTTCTTCAATAATATACAAAACACACACACTTTTCACTAGGGAATCTTCTTTTAATAAAATTTTATTACATTCTGAAACGTACAAAAATATCTAAAATGTCTGATGTTAAAGTTTGACTCCGGAAAAGGATATATGACGTCATACTGGTATGTGGAAAGGACTAGATCAAGGATTCACAGATTTTCTTATTATTTAACACAATGAGAGTGTTGATCATAAGAGAAATAGGTTTAACAACTTGTGAAAATTTGATATCAACTCTCGTTATTTAATTTAAATAGTAATAATAAACTTGCCAAAGGTAAACCACAGATTTAAATGTTGAACAAAGCAGAAATTTTCTATAGACTTGTATGCCAACTTTGGCGAAAACTATGAAATAAAATATCAATGAAAATAAAATTTTCCCTCAATCCAAGAAAATTGGTACCCACGATAATAAATGAATCCACAGTAGGTACAGTCTCAAGTCTAAAGCTGTAAGTCTATTTAATATCTGAACCTACTTTTGACATAGGTAAGGAAAGTAACACATTACCTGTTAGCAACATTTTCATTCTTCTTGAACTTGAGACCAAGTTTCTTGAGGAATGAATCAGGAACACTTGGTAACACAGCCTTCTCCACCTCAGCTGGAGGCTCCTCCTCCTCTTTTTGTTCAGGAGGTTTAGGTTCCTCAGTCTGCAATAGGTCCTCACCACTCATCATTGATTCACGTGACTCTTTCAAATCGGGCATGACAGCTATATGCTTCATTTGTTCCCTGCGTCTAGCCAAATTGTTCTGAAAGATTAATTAGCATGGATATCAATATTGATGTTGATTTGGTCACATGTAATTACTACAGATTATTAAATATTAGCCATTTCATACAAAATGACCATGAAACGAGATTTTGACATCTAAATATATCACGTAATTAACTTAGTATTAATGACTTTACACCCAAGCAAGCTTAATAAATCCATTGGGTACTGTTCGTGTACCTAAATAACTAACTAACAAAGTAATCAATTCATCCTTATCATTTTTATCAAAGAAGTACTGATTGGAAATGCATGCATGAATGCAGTATATAGCTTTCCACATTAAATTCTCTAAATCAGTTTTTTGGGACAAGAAAGCAATATTTTTATAACAATTTTTTTATCTGAAATTAAAGTTATTTGTAGTAGTCAAAATATGCTGAGGAAACAAACTTAGTTATATTTTTTGGTTTGTTTTCAGGTTTTTAATGAGAAGTGAGCAATTAATTATAGAATTAAAAAAAATTCAGATTCAATAAAAGTTTAAGAACAAAAGTTAATGATGATGAATTGGTGCTTTAAATTAATGTCCATTTGCAAATATTTCAAGCAAATCAGTTATGTGTGATGAGTCTCTCTACTCAAACACATTATTTTATCAGCTGACCAGAACTTCAAAATGCTATATTCTTTTAGATTTCAAGTCTTTAGTTTGGTCTGACCAGGATCTAATCTACAACCTTCTATAATCCAGGCCAGCACACTCCCACAAGACAACAGAGGAGTCAAAAGCAAGAAAAGGGTTCAAGGACAAGGATAACATCAGCTTCATGTAGTAAACCTACCTTAGGTGTGAACTGTAATTAACCTACAAGAATATTAGCTCAGACATGATTTTATGCTGGCCAAGAAAAAACAGTGCCGTCTTAAACTTGCAGTGAGGTGAGAGTTTTTTGGCTCCGTGTTGAAGGCCTCATTGTGACTTTGAGATGAAGAACATCAATAAAAGCGCTGTTCCTTTGCTTTTTGTGTGTTTTTTTGCTGTGCATGTACTGATTTTGTGTCATGGATGGATACCCCATATCCTTTGTTTTTCTATTATAGACTCTGTTAGAAGTAAATAAACAATAAAAAATGAAACTATTAAAGTAATACAGGTCTGTTATCTGTAAACTATAGTGTTTTGAAATTGCTATATTTTATATAAATACTGTACTTTCATAAGCTAATCCATTGTAGACAAGAAATGATTGTAACAGGATGCTGTTACGAAGTCTCCCAAACGAAGCTCCCATAATTCGTAATTCCCAGGGTCGCCTGACATTGGGCAACGTCCAGTGAAAATTGGTTTGGTCCAGTAAAGTTATATGCATTAGTGATGCCTGGGGACTAACCTTGTATATCATTCAAATCATCTTGGCATGACAAACCAGAATATATATGGTTTAGGGGTGAGGATCTCGACCATTTACAAGATACTAGAACCTTGGGGGTGGGGAAGAACCCCTGGGGACTGGCCCTATACGTCATTCAAATGTTCATTACATGACGAACAGGAATATATATGGTTTAGGGGTGGGGATCTCAACCATTTACAAGATAATTGAACATTGGGGGTGGGGGGAACCCCTGGGGACTGACCGTATACGTCATTCAAATGTTCGAGACATGACAAATAGGAATATATATGGTTTAGGGGTGGGGATCTCAACCATTTACAAGATATTAGAACTTTCTCAAATGGCAGGGGGTCGGGATGACCCCTGGAGACTAACCCTGTATATCATTCAAACCATCTTCGCATGACAAACCAGAATATATATGGTTTAGGGATGGGGGTCTTGACCACTTAGAAGATATTAGAACTTTCTTAAATGGCAGGGGGTGGGGGTGACCCCTGGGGACTAACCCTGTATTTCATTTGATGTGCTTTATCATGACAAACCAGAATATATATGGTTTAGAGGTGGGGATCTTGACCATTTACAAGATATTAGAACTTTCTCAAATGGCAGGGGGTCGGGATGACCCCTGGGGACTAACCCTGTATATCATTCAAACCATCTTAGCATGACAAACCAGAATATATATGGTTTAGGGGTGGGGATCTTGACCATTTACAAGATATTAGAACTTTCTTAAATGACAGGGGGTGGGGTGACCCCTGGGGACTAACCCTGTATTTCATTTGATGTGCTTTATCATGACAAACCAGAATATATATGGTTTAGGGGTGGGGATCTCGACCATTTACAAGATATTAGAACTTTCTCAAATGGCAGGGGGTCGGGATGACCCCTGGGGACTAACCCTGTATATCATTCAAACCATCTTAGCATGACAAACCAGAATATATATGGTTAAGGGGTGGAGATCTTGACCATTTACAAGATATTAGAACTTTCCTAAATGGCAGGGGGTGGGGGTGACCCCTGGGGACTAACCTTGTATTTCATTTGATGTGCTTTATCATGACAAACCAGAATATATATGGTTTAGGGGTGGGGATCTCGACCATTTACAAGATATTAGAACTTTCTCAAATGGCAGGGGGTCGGGATGACCCCTGGGGACTAACCCTGTATATCATTCAAACCATCTTAGCATGACAAACCAGATTATATATGGTTTAGGGGTGGGGATCTTGACCACTTACAAGATATTAGAACTTTCTTAAATGGCAGGGGGTGGGGGTGACCCCTGGGGACTAACCCTGTATTTCATTAAATGGGCTTTATCAATTAGAACATTTTCAATTACAAAGATTGTGTCTATCACAAACGGTTTTCAATTTATAATCATTTGAAAATTTAAAAAAATAAAATCCCATAGGGTTCTATAGTAAAACCCTCTTTTCTTTTTGCCCCTCAAAGTACCCCTTTATAAACCCCATTGCACAAACAAAACCCTGATTGCACCACTAGACATGTTAGTCTAACATATTGTGAAACCTTAAGTTAATCTGACAAGCGGTTTTGGAGAACGGGTGCGGACAAGTTCAAATTTAAAAGCGGCGGAAGAAGAAGAAGAAGAAGAATAATAATAATAACTGAGCAAAAACAATAAGTCTTCCCAAACTTCGTTTGGGAGACTTAATAATTACAGTATGAACATTTAGATATCCTCACTCAATGCAATTCAACATCATCCAGAAACCTAATTTTTAAATATTTAGACAAGTCAAGAGATATAATAAAACACAGTGAGAAAATCCTGCACCCGGAGGCGGGCTTCAGCTGGCCCCTTAACAAAAATGTGTACTAGTTCAGTCAAAATGAACGTCACACTAAACTGCAAAACATATAAATGTTACAGTGAAAATCAATTCAATCTGAATTTCCTGTATTAAACAATATTGCAAAATTATTCAGTCCTGACTCCAAGGCAAACTTCAGATATCTTCAATAAACCATTGTTATACTATTTGGAAATAATTCATATGCAATAACTGTTGTATGTCAATTACAGTAAAGGCGAAAATTACACCTGACCTCCATTTCCTGGTAGTTAGTAATATTGCACAGTTATAAGGGTTCTTCAAACAAACTTTAAATATAATCTGAAAATAATTTTTACAACAATGAGACAAATTCAAGGGGCATAACTCTGAAACAGGTATAGTGCCAACAATGAAAATCAAACATGACCTACATCAGAAGTAGGAAATTAAGTTATAAATTCTTTCTCAAAAGCTAATCATCAGGAAACTATTTTATTAATAATCAATTTTCAATGATTTAAGTTGCATATCTGGAAAAGTAGACAATGAAAATTGAAATTGACCTGCATTTAATGACAGGCAGTAAATACTGCAATGCTATACGCGTCATGGTCCTACCCCAAAGCAACTTTGTAATTTAATATCCTGACATTAAGCAGCCACTGAATGTATGTAAGTTTTTTCTTCTTAGAAAAATAACCCCAAAGAATAAATCCCACCTGCGCTTTCTCAATAATATTTTTACAGTGTGGTGTATTACTTTTGGGACAAAGTATATTAAAATTGTAGAAAACTTCATCAGCTCTAACTCAAAATATGGACAATTTTATGTTAAGGGGGTTTTGAATTCTTTTGACAGCTGCAGACATACTAATTTTTAACCTTTTTCAGCTGGGCCAAATCACTACATTTCTTTAAAATTCATGACCCCAATTTTTTTACAGTGTAATTTCATCCCCCTACTTGAGGCATAAAACATGAGGAAAAAAATTTGGAAGAGGTATGTAAAAAATTGCAACTAATACACTGTCCACATTAAGGACTATATTTGTACACAACGGAAATCAAAGGACGATAACTGTGTTCCCAGACAATGCGCAGACCACAACTTCATTGTTTACCACCTAAAACTATAACTTAACCCAATAAATGGACAGATTAATGGATGAACTGTAAACATATAAACTGCATTACTTTATAATAATGTATGGTACAATTTATTCAATGTAAATTTTAGGAGTCTGAAATACAGCAAATTTATGTGTTGCGGACTAAAACAACCAAATTAGGTCACATTCATTGTCTTAGTAAAAAGTATGCTAAATTAATTATCGACCATCATTAAATCCAACAATGACCTCAAGTTACCTTTCATACACCTACCTACTATTAAATCTGCTAATTATCTTCAGGCTTGGTAATAATAAATGACATTAGAGTAGGCATTTGATGTAATGTAATTATTCAATATCTCAAGGTCTAAAAAGTGTGGACAAAAGTGCTAGTCTAGATGAATTAAATCAAAGATTTTCTATGCAAAAAAAAAAAAAAAATCAACATCTAATGGTCTTCATTGATGGACACATTGACTAATTGATCGTTGTTTAACGCCACTTTCAGGACATTCGGCTACATCATGGAGCTCAGTTTTTATTGGTGGAGGGATCTGGAGTACCTGGACAGAACCTGTTCCTTCGGCATGAGAACTAGCAATCCAAGTCAATTAAGATCAGAGTAGAATGCACATTGCTACAAGGTGAGTTTGAACTCCCAGCCTCAGTGTTGACAAGCTAGTGGTCACTGTAGATGAACTAGCC